AAGCCGTTTCGGCTCAAGTTGTCGGATAGATTTTGACGTTGCTGAGATCGTTTCCATTGTTTTCCCGCCTCGATTCTCGCAGCGACCATGTCGACGGATTTGATTCAAAGCACGATGCAGTCCGATGGTGTCACCGACTTCGCCAACTGGACGGTCCCAGCAGCCGCGATGAAGACTGCAGTTTCTGAAGGGGTGACTGATATTCACGATCAGCTTCCTAACAAGCTTGTCCTGGCGTTGCTTGCGGTGACGGTTCTCTACGTGCTACGCAATTGCAAGTTCCGCCATGCATGGGTCATTCCTGCAGGCTACATCATGGCTGATGTATACATGGCTGTACTTCACATGTTCCTTGATCATCCACGCACCAGGGACTGCCCGGTTGGTTTCCTGAAAGATCTGGCTCTCGACTTCCAGAATCATCACAGGAACCCGTTTGGAGTTGTGATTAGCAATCACGTTTCGGCCATCGACCTTTTGAACACTTTGACTCTGGGTTTACCTCTGTTTTGGGCAGTGACCACAAAGCTTTTGAAGGGCAAGTCCTTGCCTCCTCAGGTGATCCTCTTCGGCTTCGCTACGACCTGCGGTGGTATCCTGGGGGCTTACAACCACGTGTGCTGCCACGCGCGAACTCATAAGGTCCCCATCCCAGAGGTCATCAGGATGGGTCAGGACTACGGGCTTTTCCCACACAACGAATTCCACCGCAAGCACCACACGCCGCCCCATGCCGATAATTTCGCCTTCCTCGTCGGTGGCGCTCCTGCATACGACTATCTGTATTTGCAGCTGCAGAGCTGCGTAATCCATTATTACGAAGTCATGGCCGTACTGTTCACTCTCGTGCAGCCTTTTGTTGTGAGTTCGCTCATGGCCGTATACGTGCTGTTGCGAGGGGAGGCGGAGGCGCCCAAGGCGAAGACTGCGTAGGAATTCTCTCGGCCCGAGAAGCTGTTCCGGAAAGGTTTATAGTTTTCGACGAATCGGCAGACACATACCTAATTTTCCGTACGCCATCTTATATAAAATTGTGTTCTTGCTCACCGGCGAGGCATGGGCCCGTTTGTCAGTGTGAGTTTCGCACAAGGGGAATTCAACGTGAGCCGTGTCGGCTCTGTGATTGGTGTAGAGACAGCCCAAAAACAATTCCACATTGGTAGCAGAGCTGGTCTTGCACATCGGACGCCTTTGTTTGCGATTGGTTCATTGGTCATAGGATGCACTGGGTCTTAGCCCCCTGCGTGCACCTTACAGGCCCGAGCTTGTCGAGCACACTTTCTTTTACGGTCAGGGGCTTTGGCTTAGCGTGTCGGCGCGACATGCTAACCAGCTCCTGGTCCCCAAGCGTCAACTTTCCGAGCCTTTCCCAGGGTCCCGCCCAGCGGAGCGGAGCGATACGATTTTCGTTGGCAGGGCATTGCGTGTCGCCAGAGCCGCCGCCACGACACGCTAAGCAAAAGTAGCTGACCGTAGTGGGGGGAAGCTTCGATCTTAGATCTGCCAGGGTTACGCATTTGGCTTGTATGATTGGCAGTACCTTACCAGTGTTCGGCTTGATTGTGGTGCAGAAGGGGGCGACATTTTCCAAACAGTGCCTGCACTAAGGGTTCTCTTACTTGCGCTGTAACGACTCGGTTGGGAGTTCAGGGGTTTTCGCACGGTCGCCGCCCATGAACGCATTGTCTTGGAGACATCGTAGGCCACCTTAAGCCTATGGTGGGCTGTCTTGGAGGCATATTTGGTCATATTGGCTGCCTTGGTGGTTTGCCTGGACTGTCTTGGAAGCCATCTGGAGCATTGTGGATGCTTCGGAGGGCGCCAGGAAGGCTTCGGGTTGCCCAGAGAGCCTCAGGAGGGGGGGGGAGAACACGCCAGTGAGTGCTGGGGCCCTTTGAAGATTACATCCCGCCACCGTGCCGTGGTTGTAGGTCTGAGGCCTTCTGGACGCTTGTGAAGATCTCCTGGGAGGCCTCTCAGAAGCCTTCTGGAGGCGGTTTCGTGGGGGCCTCTCGGGGGCTTCTTGGGTCATGAGTTGGGCCTGTTGAGGGCCTTCTGGAACTTCTGGAGCAGTCTGGAGCCCAGAATACCGGATGGCAAGCGAAGAACACTGTCATAATGATGTTGGTGCATGGGCCTCAATCAGCTAGATCGTGTAACAACAATCCATGTGCGTCTTTCTGTGGCACGCCCATGCGTGTGGATCTTTACTTGTCTGGAACCTTGTATGGGGCGGACTCCTCCCTGTCTCTTCTGCTTCCTCCCCCCCCCTCCGGTGGCGCTCTTGGCCCCGCGTGCCCGCGGCTCAGAGACTGCCGCTGTCCGGAGCGCGCCCCGCTCGGCCATCTGGCGCGGGGGCGGGCCGTCGGGGCAGCCCCCCCGGCATGGTGCTGATCCAGCGGGCGCCGCACGCCCCCCGCTGGCGGCGGGTGGCGCTGGCGGTCCTGGCCTCCGCCGCCCGGGGCGATGCCAGCAGCATGTTCGCGGACGCCTGCAGCGCGATAGGGGTTCAGATTCCGATGCTGTGCTCGAGCAGCAACTGCTCGGGGGCGGGGTGCTGCCGGCAGTCCTCCTGCTACTTTGGGGGCTTCCTGCCGAACACCAAGTGCAACCCGAATCGGGGCTCCACCAGCTGCAGCTCGATAATGAAGGGCTCCTGCGTCTGCCAGATGGGCTCCTGCGGCTCCGACGGTAAGTGCGGCGACAGCGGCAGCAGCCTCTCGCAGCTCTGGGAATTTGGCGACAACGACGACGGCCACATTCCGCGGGAGGACCACACGGTGGGGCTGATGACGTACGGGTTAATTTGCGAGGCGGGGATTCATTCACATCCAACGCCAGGACAGCCGATACCCTGGGACTCCAGGGGGCGGTGGACATTGATATGTTTGGCCCCCCAGGGCCAGCAGATATGTGTATGTATGTGTATATATGTACCTACCTACCTACCTACCTACCTACCTACCTACCGACCTACCTACCTACCTACCTACCTACCTACCTACCTACCTACCTACCTACCTACCTACCGACCTTCTCATCTACCAACCTACGTACACACATACATACAAACATACATACATACATACATACATACATACATACAAACAAACAAACAAACAAACAAACAAACAAACAAACAAACAGACACACACAGACAGACAGACAGACAGACAGACAGACAGACAGGCAGGCAGACAGACAGACATGCATGCATGCATACATACATACAGACATATTTACACACGTACACACATGCACACATACACATACACACATACATGCATGCACACATAGATACATACATGCATGCATACATACATACACACATACACACATACATATACATCTGTGTACATCCACATCCACCCCCTGCCGAGGTCCCCGAAGGTCGACCCCCAGACGGCGGTTATGGATACAACCCTTGCCTCACACTATTGTCGCCGCCACGGCGGGGCTCGGCGTGCGCTGGGCCCTCGGGGGGCGGAGGAGAGCCGGGGCCCAGTCGCGGCTGGCGGGCGTCCTGAGAGACGGCGGGGGCGAGTGGCTGGAGCTGCAGGGGCGAGATATGTTCGAGGAGTAAGCGCGCGGACGTGGAGCGGCCGCCGGGCGAAAGTGCTCCGCGGCCAGCACCGATGGCCCTCTTTGAGATGCTCATTTCGAGGGCCTTCCCGGGGCCCGCCTAGCAGGTCTGTGCGACTCTGGTTCGATTGTAGTTCGATCCTAGTTCGACAATAGGTAGGCTCAAATTCGACTCAATTTTGATTCGAGTTCTATTCAAGTCGTCAGACCTTCGGCGCAGCATCGACGCACGAGTGGAGTGAATGGTTCCAGGAAGATCCACAGAACGAGCATCTAACTCCCTCCCCACCCTCCATCCCGAACGAAAGGTTCGCTCGTGATTGCAGCGGTCTCTCTTCTCTTTGGGCTGTTGCATAATATATCTTACCTCTTCGTCATGGTTGTGCTAGACGCGCACACGGCTTGTTGCCGATGCCATTGAGGTTGCCGACGGTTAACTTGAGCGGCCAGGCCGTCGTTCTTAAAGAGTGGAAGGTGACATTGTTTCTTTGGTTCGGTCTCAGGTTTCCCACTGTTTCCTCATCGCCCCGCTCCTCTCTCCCCCTCGCACCTTTGTTCAGCATGTCTGGTCGTGCCTAGCCCGCGCATCAGTTTCGGCGAAGCGGCGACAAAGTCCCAACTGTTCAGCCAATGTCGCTGCCAGAGAACAAATATGCGGAGGCTCGGCGGGGGAGTCCCAGGGTGGACAAGTTATCCGAAAGTCCGACCAGGAACTCTGACCTCGGCTTGATGTCACTGTGAAGGGGAACACCTTACGAATCTGGAGCATAAAGTCGGGGCCCAGTCATTGATTCGCAAGAGGCCAGGCAGAAGGGAAAAGTCAAGGGGTCTCCCCTTCTTACTCCTACTTCCCATCTGCAAAGTAGGGTTGGATCTCAGAGCGCACGCTCTTCGGCACACCTTTGTGATTCTATTGTTTTACCCCTGGTGGCGAAACCATTGGCGCAGGCAGATATTCTGAGGCGGGGGCCAGACATCGGCAAGCAATATGGCGGCGAAGCCACGCGCGCGGGGCCAGGGCGCCGACACATGGACCGCTCTGTGCTTGGGGGCTCTGGTGCCCAGGCCGTTCCTCGGGCCTACGTCGGGAGCCCACGCGTGGCAGAGTCCCGTCGTGGCCAGAAGAGCCCCCCTCGTGCCGTGGCCAGCGCTCCTTGTTCGGCACGGCGGCCGCAGGGCGGAGGCAGGCTGGGGAAGGAGGAGACGCGGCAGGCAGCGGGGCGGCGGGCGAGGCGCACGCTGCCCGGGTCACCCGTGAGGCGCGCGGAGGCAGCCGGGCATCGCGGCACGGGCCAGAGAACCAGTCTTCTCCAGGACGGCGGCAGCGAGATTCAAGCAGTGGCGAAGCGTCCTGGCTCGCCTATAGCCCCACCAAGCAATGTTCTAAGAACCTTTTGTGGTTTCCACGACATGTTCTCAGAACATTTCTGGCGGCCAGCCGAGCGTTGCCACTCGCGCGTCGCGAGGTGCAGAGGTGGGTGGCCGAGGTTGCGCGGGGGTCTCCAGGAGCCTGCAGCGAGGGCACCTGTGATCTGGTCTGGCGGCGCCTGTGGCCCCATGGGGCGCCGATGCCTGTAGTCCAGGGGGGCAGCCTTGCAGTCTGGGGAGGTTGGGGCAGTCAGTCTTTTCTTTCGCCGGAGGGGGTGCTTGCAGTATGGATGCTTGCTTGCAGGTTGGGGGTAACCATTAGCCCAGATGGCATGGCTCACAGCATCCCCGCAGCGATCTAGGCTTAGACAGTTACGGCTTAACCTAGCTCTTGAGCAGCCTTGTTGGTTGTTGGCAGCTTTTAACACTTCGTATGTACACGCCTTGTAGGCTTGTTCCGTGCGAGATGTGCTGGTCCGTGGCTGCATCTCCCTTCATGGCAGAAGAGGTGCAACCGGGCTTGTGGGGTGGGGGGCGTCGTTCCAACAGCTATGTGAGCCCGTCCGCAAGACTTGATGCAGTTGGGGGTTTCAACGTCCCTGAAGACAGGTTATCCCCTTGGTGCGCAGCCTGATCCGAGCAGCAATTGCTAGCACGCAAGCAAGCGCCTCGACAAGCGAGCACAGAAAAGCATTTACCACTTAGACTATCTACTCAGGCGTATTGCGAAGGTCTTACGGCTGGTGCCGCCGACCCAGAATGGGGACGACGACGACGGCGACGGCGACGGCGACGGTGACGACGACGACGATGACGACGGCGTCTGCGGCGGCGGCAGCTGCGGCGGTGGCGGCGGCGGCTCCAGCGGCGACGACGACGGCGACGACGGCGGCGGCGGCAGAGGCGACAATGACGACGACGGTGGCGGCGGCGACGACGATGACGACGACGGCGACGACGACGACAGCGGCGACGATGATGGCGACGGCGACGGGGACGGCGACGGCGATGGCGACGGCGACGGCGACGGCGACGGCGGCGGCGGCGGCGACGGCGACGACGACGACGACAACGAAGAACATTCAAGCACTTTAGGAAACTTATTGAATTTGTCATCTTGTGGTGCTCTGGGGGCTCTCTTGGGCCTCTTGGGGACCTCTTCAGGACTTCTTGGCGCCTCTTGGGGCCTCCTGGGGACCTTTGGTGGATGAAGGCTCGACATGTCGTTTTGTATTCCCCCTTTCGGGGGCCTCTTGGGGCCCTCTTCGGCCGCCTGAGGGACCTCTTGGGCCGTCTTGGGGCTGTCTTGGGGGCGTTTGGGGGCCGCATTTGGCCGTTTTGGGGCGCTTCCGGCAGCCTCTCAGGCCGTCACGGTGCGATGTTCGGGGTTTCGTGGCCGTCTTGGAACGTCGGAAGCCCGAAGGCGAGGATGCGAAATATATGGGAAATGCTATTTGACAAGTAATAATGTTCGCCTCTTGGGGCCGTCTTGGGGCTACTCAAGCTCTCTTGGGGCTTCTTCACGCCGTCTCGAGGGTATCCGGGGCCGTCTTGGAGCGACCTTGGGCTGTTTCAGGGCCCTCTTGGAGCAAGCTGCGATACAGGTGTGTTCGAGGCGTTTGGGATGTGGAAAGCTTCTCTCAGGGAGGGGTGTCCCCCCCCGGGGGGGGCGGGTCACGGCCCCCTTTGACCCCTCCCCCGGCGAGGGAGGGATCAAAGGGAAGGATTACGACGTTGCTCGATTTTCATTTGGCTGGGACGCTTGAGGAGGAGGGCTTAGGAAAAGGAGGGGGGAGCGGCGACTGCGACGGCGACGGCGACGACGATTCAAACGGGAATGCCTCCCACATACGCCGACAGGGTCGGCGCCACTTAGAATCGCGGCTCAGGTGCATTTGGTCGGCTCAGCGCCGCAGTCCACGGTCCACGGGGTCTCGCATTGAATGAGCAAGAGAAATGAGAGGAGGAGGAGTCTCGCTCGCTCGCTGTCTGCGCATGGCCAAGTCTCGAGTCACTCGATCGGGGCGGCGGCCGCAGGGCGTTCGGGAAGCACTATGCTCCCGCCGATGTCAAAACACTAGGGGAGCCCCTCCCCCAGCAATCAGCTTGGGGACTCTGATTGCAGCACAGGGCCGAGTGGCCTGCACGTGCAGAGCAGACACAGACGTCATCTCGGAGACACAGAGAGAACGAGAGGAACAAAGCGGCAGAATGGGCAGCGGCATCGGAAGAAGAGAGGGGGATAATGGCCAGCCAGGCCCTGCGGCCGTAGACGAGGTGCAAACTCTCGTTCGAAACCCAAGCGAAACACCAAAGAACTATCTTGCAATCGGCAAACTACTTACCACTGGCTGCTCCTGTGCCTTTCCCACGGGTTCTATTTCGACCTCGGCCTTTAGGGCGCACCAGCGGGCCCCACTCACCCTCAAACTGCACCCGTCCGCGGATCGATCCCAAGGCCTGCGGCAGCCAAGGAGGAGGAGGGAGGTGCGCGGCAAAGGAAGGAGGCCTGGAACCTACTGGGCCTTCTTGTGGCGGCCCCCATCGAATCATCTTCTGCAGCGAACTCTGGGCACGGGGCTCCTAAGTGTTCTTTGGGGGCAACTTTGTCCTGCTCCCGAGGGCCAGAAACAGGGTCGTTATAATCGAAAGAGCGTGTTCTACCGCTGCTGGCGGAAAACCGGGGGGTTTCGGTCAAATTGTATTGTTGTGGTTTGTTTGTTTGTTTTTTTGTTAGTTGTTTTTTCTCTTGTTTGTTTTTTTCGTTTTTTTTTTTTATCGTTTAGAACAATCCGAACCCCCCCCAATGCTTTCTCTCTTTCTCGTTTTTTTCTTTTCGCGCCCCCTGTTAATCATGAATGGGGGGGGGGGCACTACCGGTTTTCGGAACCCCCCCCACCCCCCCCTCGAAATACTGGGGGGGGTCACTTATTCTATGTACCGGTTCGATAACCCCCCCCCCCCCCTCGAAAACCGAGTGGGGGTGCGGACATTGGTGGGGACGGTGTTGGTGGGGACAGTGGTGAGGGGATAGCGGGACAGTGGTGGGGACAGTTGGACAGTGGGACAGTGGTGGGGACGGTAGTGGTGGGGACAGTGGTGGGGACAATGGTGGGAACAGGGGGGGACAGTGGACAGTGGTGGTGACGGTGGTGGTGGGGACAGTGGTGTGGGGACAATGGGAATGAGGTGGAAACAGCGGGACAGTGGAGGGTACAATGGTGGTGGGGACAGTGGTGAAGGCGGTGGCGAGGACGGCGGTGGGACAATGGGACAGAGGTACAGTGGGGACAGTGGTGGGGACAGTGGGGACAGTGGTGGGAACAGTGGGACAGCTCAGTGGGACTGCGGAGGAGTCAGTGGGACAGTGGGGACAGTGGGGATAGTCGGGCAGTGGTTGGGGCCGTGGAGACAGTGGGGAGAGTGGAACCGTGGTGGGAACAGTTCTGGGGACAGCGGGGTCAGTGCGACAGTGGTGGGGCCACTGGTGGGGACAGTAGGGGCGGTGGTGGAACCAGTGGGGACAGCGGTGGTGAGGACAGTGGTGCTGGGAACACCAGTGGGGGATGTGATGCGGACGGTGGTGGGGACCGGGAGTCGTTTGCTGGCGGTGAGTAGGGGGGGGGGGGAAAGGGGAAGGGGGGGTGCGAACCGGTAGTGGCCCCCTCCAGTTTTCCGGATCCGGAGGGTAGGGGGGGGGGGGGGGGGGGGGGGATGGGGGTCGAACAGTAGTGACCCCCCCCGATTTTCCGGGGATCCGGTGACAGGGGGGGGGGGTGGGGGGTTCGAAACCGGTAGTGACCCCCCGGTTTTTTCGAGCGGGGGGGGGGGGGGGGGGGAGGGGTTAGGTGGAATGGGGGGGGTTTTGCCGGGGAGAGGGGGGGGGGGGGGAGGAGGGGTTCCAGCAAGGGAGGGGGGGGGGATTCGGGGGGGTGGGGGGGGGCGCGAACCCCCGGGTTCCGGAGGAAAAGGTTAGCAATTTTCCACAGTAAAGCGGCGGTGGATCACGCTCTCTCTTATAATCGAACTCATGGGCGTCATCCGTCCTCCAGCTCCCTGGGCCCAAGAGTTGACGAAGAAGGTGTGGCGTACGAGAGGCAGGAGGAGGAGGAGGTGAAGCAGGAGCAGGAGAAGGAGCAGGAGCAGGAGGAGGGCAGTAGCAGCGAACGGATGATCAGGCGTAGGAGCAGGAGGAATCTGTCGACCCCCTCCCCGTACAGCAGGTGCGTCGAAGACACGAAGCCAGCCTGCCCAGAGATGCACAGAAGTGTCGAATACCCCCGTGGCCCACGGAACCTGCAGAAGCCTCTGGGCATTTCAGGATGCCGAGGGATCGTCGAGAAACTTGCGCCCATGTTTCTCATAGCGAGATGTTTTGTCGTATGTGCCTGCTGTTATGCAGTCCACGGTGCACGTGATCAACGGAGGTCAGCGTCGAGGGTGCCTTGTGTCGAGCCCCATCGGATGGAGCCTGGCGGCAGGGTAGGGAGCATATGTGGCTTGCAGACCTCGTTCTGGCTCGAGCCTGGCCCATGGCGCGTGGTCTGCGCGCTGCGCGTCGGCACTGGGTGCAGGCACCACTCTCGCAGAGCATGCCCACATGCTCACCGATCGCGCTCGCAGAGGACCCCTGGGAAAGACTGCAGAGGAAACATAGTTCTGCCTGCCACAGCCTTGCTCCCACCATCCTGCTCCTGCCGCGCCTCCTCCTCCTCTCCTCCTCCTCCTCCTCCTCCTCCTCGTCTTCCTCTTCCTCTTCCTCTTCCTCGTCCCTTCTCCTCGTCCCCTCCCGTCCTCCTCCAGTCCTCCCTCCTCTTCCCTCCCCTGGTGCTTCTCCTCATTCTCATCCTCCTCGCTCGCTCGATCGCTACCTCCAGGCTCGGCCTCGTACCCCTTAGCCGAAACTCACAGAAAAAGAGTGGGAAGAGGCGGGGACTGGACGGGGTCCTCGCCCCTGCCAGTTTTTTTTGTTTTTTTTTTTTTTTTTTTTTAATTTTTCATTCTTCTTTTTTCTTTTTTTTTTTTTATGTGTTGTTCTTTATTTTTTTTCTTTTTTTTTTTTTCTTTTTTTTTGTTTTGTTTTTTTTTTTTTTTTTTTTTTTTTTCTTGTTTTTTTTTTTTTTTTTTCTTTTACTTTTTTTTTTTGTTTTTTTTTTTATTTCATTTTTTTTTTTTTTATCGATCAAACTCTTAAGGTCGGGAAACTGTTGGATTAGCGTGTCGCGCTGCCCGTTCTGGCCCACTCGCTTCGGCGCGACACGCGTAGCCACGTCCCGGCCCCAGACCAACGTCAGAGCTTTGCCCAGCCTCCCTCCGGGTCGCATGGGCTGCCGCCGCGACACTCTAATCAAAAGTTCCCGTCCGTAGGCGTCCTCCTCCTGCCCCTCGTCATCATCATCATCATCATCATCATCATCATCCTCATCATCATCATCATCATCATCATCATCATCATCATCATCATCATCATCATCATCATCATCAACCTCGTCCTTCCCCATCTCCTACTGCACATCTTATGTCGGCTTGCAACGTGGCCACGCCGGCGCCGAGGACCGGACCCCCGCCGCGGAGACGCCCGCCCAGGCCGCCAAGACGCCGCTTGAGTTGGGCGCCGCCACCGCGGACGCAGGTCGGAATCTGGGATCTCGGCATCGCCATCACGCCGCCACGCCCTCCTCCACCTTCTCCACATTCGAAGATGAATCGTAGCCTGCGTAGACCCCAGCCGTGCGCTATTGCACTGTGGAGGTGGAAGTTGTACGGTGTAAGCCATGCGGCGAAAGCAATGTGATATGAGCTAGACAGGTGGCAACTATTTGGTGTAAGCTATCTAATAGAAGCTATGTTGTGTAGGTCAGATGGTGATGAAGGGCCTGGGGTGTAAGCTATGTGGTGCAAGCAGTGCTGTGCAACATATGCGGTGTAAGCTACGTGGTGCAAGCGACAAAGCAGCCGTAACTGGTGGCAGCGTGGCGAATCCTCGGGACACCTACCCAGCGCACGAGGCGGCAACGGGCAGCCACGGGCGGCAACGGGTGGCAACGTGGCGAAGCTTGTACGGAACACGCGGTGGGCGGCAACGAGGCGACAATTGACGGCAACGTGCCGAAACCTCGGCGGAGTGCGGCTAAGAGGCGGCAGCGGGCGGCAACGTGGCGAAACCTCGGCGTATTCATCCAATGCCTCAGTGACCGACGTAGAAGCCCCTAAGTGCAAGCAGTGTTTGGGGAAGTAAGAATCCAACCAGTACGGGGGCGGCCACGAGGCGACCACGGGCGGCGACGCGGCGAAACCTCGGCGGATCTCAATTGGGCGGCCACGAGGCGGCGACGCGGCGAAATCTCGGCGCATCCTACAAGTGGGCGTCAACGAGGCGGCAACAAGGCGGCCACGGGCGGCGAAACTTCGGCGCATCCTACAAGAGAGCGGCAACGAGGCGCAGCCACGAGGCGGCCGTGGGCAAGCACGATGCGAAACCACCTCGGCGGACACCCCCCAAGCTGGCGGCAACGATGCGGCAACGGGCGGCGATGCGCCGAATCCTCGGCGGATCCATCCAGTTCCTAATTCCTCAGGCACCGGCATAAGAATACTTCAGTGCAAGAGCACTGTTTGGGGAATTCTAGACGCTTCGCGTAACCCCACCAGTTTGCATCGGCCCCGCCACCCTGGACGCTGTCGTGAGCCGCCTGTTCCGCGGCCCCGCGCGCGTTAGGTAATTTAGTCGCGTCCGCGGCCCGTTCGCGACCTCCCGCCGCTGGCGCTTCCGCCTGCGGCTGTAAAAAAAAGAAAAAAGTAACCCCACCAGCCCATCCAGAAACGATGCCCAGAGGAAGTGCCTCGATCAGGGAAGTGGGCAGCACACAAAGGAAGGGTACCCCAGTGGAGGCCGGTTGGAGCGTCTTAGGGGCCTCTTGGCGGTCCCGGACGCCTCTTAGAGCGTCTTGGGTGCTTTGGAGAGCTTCTTGGGGCCTCTTGGGGGTCTCTTGGGGGCCTCTTGGAGGCCTCTGGGGCGCTTGTTGGGGCCTCCTGGGGCCTCATGGGCGCCTCGTGGGGCCCTCTTGAAGCGCTCTTGGGAGCCTTCAGAGCGCTCTTGGAGCCCTCTTGGGCCATCTTGGAGTCATCTTGAAGCCTCGGATGGCCATCGGAAGCGAAAAGGCGAGAAAGCCCAAAATGTTGATTTTCCGAAGGTTTTGGAAGGATTTTGGCCTCTTCGGGGCCTCCTGGGGGAGCTCTTTGGCCACTTGGAGCCGTCCTGAAGCGGTCTTGGGGCCTCTTGGAGCATCGTGGGAGCCATCTTGAGGCATCTTGGGATATCTTGAGCCATCTTGGACGTCATCTTGGGCTCTCCCAGGCGCTCTTGGAGTCATCTGAAGCAGTGCCACCCCCCCCAGGAGGCCCAAATGTGGCCAAAACCTTAGTAAAATCAATGATTTGGGCATTCTCGCCGAGGCCTCTTGGAGCGTCTTGGGTGCCTCTGGGGGGTCTCTTGGGGCCTCGTGGGGGTCTCTTGGGAGCCTCTTGGGGGCATCCTGGGGGCCTCTTGGGAGCTTCTTGGGGCCACATGGGGCCATCTTGGGGCCATCTCGGGGCCTCTTGGGGCATCCTGGGGGCCTCTTGCGGCCATCGTGGAGGAAATCGATGAAAGAAGAGGGGAGCTCTAATTAGCGCTGCCCCCTTCAGAAGGCCAAAATGGGGCCAAAACCATAGTAAAATCAATGATTTTGGCTTCCTCGCCGAGGCCGTTTTGGACGCTCTGACCGCTCCCCGCCCCTCCTGTCCAGGTCAGTGGGGAGGGGGTAGGGGGAGGGGTAAACCCGTCCCCGAAGGGGAAGAGGGAGGGGTGGAAGAGGAAACGCCCTAAACCACCGACGCCCAGAGGGCTGGTGGGACTCATACCCAAACCAGTGCGCGGGGGGCCACAAGGCGGCCACGAGGCGGCCACGGGCGAGCACGAGGCGAATCCTCGGCGGATCTCAACTGGGCGGCCGCGAGGCGGCCGCGAGGCGGCCACGAGGCGGCCACGGGCGGCGATGCGGCGAAACCTCGGAGGCCCTACAGTTGGGCAGCAACGAGGCGGCAGGGGGCGGCGACGCGGCGAAACTTCTGCGGACCCATTCAATCCCCCCAGCAACCGAAGGAAGAAGCCCTCAGGGCAACCACTGCTGAGGGAACACCGCATATAAGTTCTGGAGGTCCACGCGGAGGATCTCTCGGATTTGGCGCTGGGCCCCCTTGGCGGTGCCTCCGGCGCCGCCCCCGGCGCGCTCCGCGCGCCGGGGAGGGGGTCCAGGGCCGATCCAAGGAATCTACGCGGACCTCTCCGCGCATCCTCTCTAGTCAGGAGGGAAAGAAACATACAGACACAATTAATCGTCGATTCCCCAGAAAATATGGAAAAATATGGGAAGTGGGGGGGAAACGAAAACCCAGAAAATATAGGAAAATATGTGGAAAATGTTTATTTGTGTGTATTTATTTGTGTGTCCCAGGACCCCTTCATCTAGATACTTCTTCTACAAACTCGTTCTTCACATGGGGCTTTCCAGAACGGGCCTCGCCTGCTAGGACCGAAGGAGTTGACACCTCCTCCTCGGCGGAAGTTAGGGGGAGGCGGCGGAAGTAGAACGGGGGCGGCTTTGTCGGCGAAAGGCCAGCGGAAGCCAGCGGAAGTAACGCCTTCGGGGGTGTCCAGGTTTCCGGAACCCGCCACACGCCCTCTTGTCGCCACCATCGCCACCGGGTGTTCCTGCTCCTCCACCTGTCCTCTTCCCTCCAAGCGTTCGGCCTGAACGAAGATGAGGCTCGAGTTCTGGGCAGCCGCCTCAAGGAGAAGGGGCAGGACGACCTGCCCGACCTTGATTTGGGCGGCGAGCTTCTTTGCTAGGGGGGGCCCTATGGCCGGCTCACGGTGCGGATGCCTCAAGGCCGCACCGTGGAGGCAAGAAGGTCCTCTCCGAAGGGCCCCCCTTGGGGGCCTTTCGGCTGGACCGTCGGACCTCTCCCTCCTCTCTCTCCCGTATCGGGGAAGCGTAAGATGCGAGTACGCTGGAACTCAAGTTTGCGGACGACGCCTTTTGACGAGCGCGTCCTGGATTTAAAACGGTCCAGTTTTCGTGGGACGTTTGCAGCGGGAGCTCGCGTCAAACTTCAGACGGGATCTCGTCATTTTCATGAACCCGCGTCTTACGTCTCCCCGACCGTGGTGGCGTGCGATCCACACGTCCTCCTCCGCACGCCGTCGCCGCCATCGCAGCCACGTCCTCCGCCTCCACACAGGGCGCTTCAGAAGGGGCCTCGCCTTCGGCGTGGCAGGCCCGCGGCTGACGATGGGAGCAAAACTGCGGCGGACCCGCTGGCATCGACTACGCGCAAGAGCCGCAAGAGTGACCTTTGGTGCGGGCCCACTGGGGTCCCCCGATCGTTGAGCGCGAAGCGGTACATCCCCGTTACGAAAGTTCTAGGCTAGAATTGACATGTCTGGGCGCTGTGGTGAGAAGTAGTATGGGAGTGAAGTATCTGTGTGATTCCATACGGAGAGATATTCAGAATTGCGCGGAAGTGTCCGGGAGTGATTTCCCCCTTGTGAACTCATAGGGGGGGAATTTTTATCTTGAGTTTAGTTACGTCTGAATCGTACACCAGGGAGAACCCCAGAAAGCTCTCCCGCCCAACCAGGCCAAAGGCAGCCGTGCTAGGAGTCTACGGGGGGAAGGGGGGTACCGCTCGGAGACGCCCTAATCGTCAGTGCTCAAGATGAATGACTTTCGCAGCGGGTAAGTCGCAGCGGCATGCGCGCCTTGGTTTGGCCACCCCGCGTCCCCCGGCAAGCCGCGCACCAAGGTCGCTCTTGCCTAGGGTAAATCTTGCGTGCGGTCGAGTAAAGCTACGGCGGGCCCGCTGGCCTAAGGTCGGTACAGGCAAAAGTGAGTCATCAACGTTTGGGGACCTAGAGCTTTCCGAATCAGCCAAGTGTCCCCCTCATCCCCTCCTCCTCCTCTTCCTCCTCTTCCTCCTCCTCCTCCTCCTCCTCCTCTTTCACATCCTCCCCCCCTCCCTCTTCTCTCCCACCTCCTTCTTCATCCCCCTTCTCCTTCTCCTCCCCCTCTTTCCCCTTCTCCCTCTCCTTTCCTCGACGTCGTCGTCCCTCTTTTCCAAACCTCGCCATGCCCAGCACGAGCGCCAGACCATTATACACACTCTCCTGGCCTATACTTAGGGTTTCTGCGCACCAGCACAGGGCCCAGGATGGGTATGGCAAGAAGGGACGGGAGAGGAGCAGGAAAAGGACGAGCACGGAGGAGGGGGAGGAGGAGGAGGAGGAGGAGGAGGAGGAGGAGGAGGAGGAGGAGGAGGAGGAAAAGGAGGAGGAGGAGGAGGAGCAACAGCAGCAGCATCAGGGATTCTTCAGGACCCTCCGGCACAGGGGGAAAGACAACTCCGAGATCGTGGACTTTTTCCGCGCACCTCGGACGCGTGCCACGCGAGCCCAAACCTCGGACGCGGCCTGGCGCCGGGTCCTCCGTGCGCGGCCCTGCGGTCGAAAACCGGGACTGGGAGCGGAAGGCACCCGCCATTGGCGGGATCGCCTCGCCACCCACAAGCCTGAGACGCTGCACGCCCACCGCTGCGGGCCGAGGGCGGTTTCGGTCACGGAACCTGTCCTCTTCATGCTGCTACGGTCGGGGATTTTTTGATAGCGTGTCGCTCCGCCTGTTCTGGCACACCACGCTTCGGCGCGACACTTTGTACCTGCGCGTGAAGGTCGCCCTGTGGCTGGGGGAGAAGAGAGCAGCAGCAGCAGCAGCAGCAGCAGCAGCAGCAGCAGCAGCAGCAGCAGCAGCAGCAGCAGCAGCAGCAGCAGCAGCAGCAGCAGCAGCAGCAGCAGCAGCAGCAGCAGCAGCAACAGCAGCAGCAGCAGCAGCAGCAGCAAGGGAAGAAGGAGGGGGAAAGAAAAGGCAACAGCACAAATAAGCAAGCAAGCGGCGCGGGCGCGGCCAGGCCGGCGCCAAGCGGGTGCGGCAGCAGCAAAAGTAAGCAAGAAACCAGCTAGGGCGCGCGCTCCCGCCCCGCAGCCGGGGGCCCCGGGAGCCCCGGCAGTCCCAGGGGGCGCCGCCGCCGCGCGCTGAGCGCCGCTAGGCCGCCGGCCGCGCGGCCGCGGCGGCAGCCTCCTGCCAGAGCAGCCCGCGCCCGCGCGCGGCTGCCTCGGCCGCGTCGCGCTCCACGAGCGCCTCGACGGCAGCCAGGAGGCGCTCCCGCGCCGCCCGGAAGCTGAGGCCCCGGGACGTTCAGCAGCGGCGCGAGCTCTCGCGCCGCGGCCCAGCCGCCAGCGGCCAAGCGGCCGTGGAAGGCCTCGAGGAGCTCTTCGCGGGCCGCCGCAGGGGCGCGGTCCTCGGAGCCGCTGCGCGCTGTGCGCGCGCCCCTGCCGGCTGCGCCAGCAGCAGCAGCAGCAGCAGCAGCAGCAGCAGCAGCAGCAGCAGCAGCAGCAAGCGCGCCGGGGTTGCAGGCCGCCTCCGCTGGGGAGGCGCTCGCCGCGCCCGCGCCGGCAGCTGGCGCAGTGGCCGCCAGCTGCGCCCCGCCGCCGCTGCCGAGCTGCGCCTCCGGCGGCGCGCTGCGCGCGCCTGGCGGGGCTGCCCGCCGCTGCCTGCGCAAGCGCCGCCCTGGGCGCGGCAGCCAGCCCCCCGCCTCTCCCGAAGCAGGCGCGGCGTCCTCGCCAGGGCCGCCTCCGGCCGCCTCCCCCTCGGAGGCGCTCGCCAAGCGCGCGCCCTCCGCGCCGCGGGCCGCCTCCGTCCCAGAAGCGCTCGCCGCGGCGCGGGCTGCCGTGCCGCCAGGTTCGCCGCGGGCCGCCCTGCGGGCGCTCGCCGCAGCGCCCGCCTGGTGCGCGTCCTCGGCGGCTGCGCCGCCAGCCGCTGGCGCGCTGGGGTCGCGGGCCGCCTCCGCTAGGGAGGCGCTCGCCGCGCCTGCGCCAGCAGGGGTCGGCGCGGTAGCCAGCTGCGGTGTTCCGCAGGCGCCGCGGGCCGCCTCCTGGGAAGCGTTCGCCGTCGGCTCTATTGTCTAACCGTGCTATTCGGCACCTAGCCCACGAGCATTCGGCACCTAGGATACTATTAGTACTGGTCCCGAAGTGAGGCGAGTGAACATAAGCGTCGCCTCCTCAACCTCCTCCTCCTCTTGAAGTCTTAGCCTCCTCGTCCTTCCCATTACTAATTAAATGACATGTCTCTTCTACGCTTTTCTTCACAATTCGATGCGGCAGCTCAGCGCGCGCCGAGCTTCCAATGTCTTACGAATTCTAGACGCTTCGCGTATCGCCACCTCCCGAAGGACATTGCCGCGCCCGGACGCAGGGACGCAGTTGCGCACCCACCTGCGCGCACCGGCCACAGTGTGGCAGCGGGTGGTCAGAAGACTGAGCCCACACCTGTGCCTAGTGCGTACGCCTGCTTCCTCTGCTGGCCGCCAGTTACGGTTGCCCGGACCGGCATCATCCCATCGTCGCTCCCCCGCTCCACCCGGATGAGCGGTCAACTCCCTGGGCTTCTTCGTGACCGCTGGCTGTTGCATGGGCTGCAGCTAGTGAGCGGCAGCACAGCTTTCCAGAGCGCCATCGTCTACACTTCACTCTGGTACGCCAGGGTACCAGGATAGGCGGCTCTGTTTATGCTGGTCACGTTAGATGCTCCCTGGTACGCGTCCCTGTTCTTATCTCGGTTGGCGTCGCTTGCGACTTGTGCCTGGTAGAGGATTGGGACAGTTGTACCTTCCGCATAGCGTCACATCATGTCACTTGATGGCCGCTTGCGTTCGCTCCCATTCGCGGTTGTCTCCTGGGCCTGACGTGCTTCGTTCGGTTTCTGACACCACGAACTTCGCGCCTTTGGGCTGCGTGGGTGCGTACTCTGAAGCTGCGACGGTTCGCTGGCGCTGTCAGAGTCCAACCTCTCCTTACGGGATGCCGTCTGGGGACAGCTTGCGTGTCTCTCGGTCGATGTTTGTGCATGGCAGGCACCCTGGGACCCCTTGTGCGCCATTCCCGCGCCGAGGTTGGAGACTCCCTACTGTTCAGATGGTGTCTCAGGGCGTACTGCTTACTATGGCCTCTGACACGTTGGGGGTATTGCATCGCGCCACTTTGGCAGCGTAATTACTGCTCCCTGGGTGCTGGTCCCGCCGTCAGACTCCCTGGGCTGCAGCACCCTTGCACCCGCCGCCCGGCGCCGGCCGCGGCCCGCGCGCGTCTCCGGCCAATTAGTTTCGGCCGCAGCCCGACCGTTATTCGCCGCCGCTGGCGCTTCCGCCCGCGGCTGTAAAACAAAAAAAAAGTATCGCCACCTCTTCGATCGGGGAAATATAAGGCTCGAGTTCGCCAGAAATCGGGTTCGCCGACGCTTTTCTACGGGTTGGCCTGGTTTGGGACGGTCCAGTTGTCGCGGGATGTCTTAGTGTGATTTCAGCTTGGACCTCTTCATTGTTCTGACGGCTCCGTCAGGCCAACGCGAGTCCTCCAAATTTGAGTCTTACGTCTCACCGATTCACGTGTGACGTGCCCAGAACACCGCTGGGCTTTTCGCTCTTCGTCGTCTTGGTTGCCATGCTCGAGCGTGTTTCTTTCTTGTTTGGGGCACAATGGGCATTATAGCTCTCGGCCCCCCCTATAACGTAACGCCCCTCCCCCCCCAGTGCGCTCCGTTCATTGCCGCCGCGCGCATCGGGATCCGCATCAGCGTCCGTATAGGAATCCGCAGAAGAGTCGCTGATTCTGTGGTGTAGACAGGCGCTGTGTTGTGCACAGGTGCTGCGGTGCACGCAAGCACTGTGGTGTACACAGGCGCTGTGTTGCACATTGTTGCTGCGGTGTTACACATCCGATGTGGTGTACACCGGCGGCGTGGTGCACGCAAGCACTGTGGTGTACACAGGCGATGCGCCCCACACGGCTGCTGCGGTGTACGCAGGCGCTGTGGTGTACACGCGCGCTGTGGTGCATGCGAGCCTTGTGGTGTATACAGGTGCTGTGGGGCAAGTCGCCACCTACATGCTGGTCGCGTCGTCGTCGTCGTCGTCGTCGTCGCTCGTCGCTCATCGTCGTCGTGCGCGCGGGCGGGGGGTTTGGGGGGGGGGGAGGGGGGGTGGGGGGGGGGGGGGGGGGAAAGGGGGGGAAAAAATACAAACCTTTGCTTGTGCCAAGCCACACGACGGGGGGGGGCGTTACATCATACCCCCCCTAGCCCCCCCCCCCCCCATCATACCTATTGTCGACGAAACGAAAGAAACGCTCTCCTCCATCGAGCCGCCTTGAGCCGAGCACCTTGAACCGAGCTCCTTATCCAGCCGCTGGTCAGCCACAGCCTGGCCGCGGAAAACCTTTCGATCTGTATGATCACGTTCCTCATATGCGTAGTGACGCGTGGCCCTGGTGCCACGGACTCCGTCACCACTACTCCGCACGCCATTGCCCGTCTCATGCTCGGCGTCAGACCCGCGAGCACACCCAGCGCGGCAGCAGCAGCAAGGAGGAGGATGAGGAGGAGGAGGAGGAGCAGAACGAGGAGGAGAACGAGGAGGAGGAGGAGAAGGGGCACGGGGCTGGAGGAGGAAGAAGAGGGACCACAAGAATGCGGAGCGTGGAGGAGGAGGAGGAGGGCGAGGAAGAGAGGCGAAGGTGAGCGAAGAGCGAGGAGCGATGATGTTGCTGCTGCTGTGTCTGCTGCTCGTGATATTGATGATGATGATGATGTTGATGATGATGATGATTATGATGATGAGGATGATGATGATGCGCATGATGATGATGATGATGATGATGATGATGATGATGATGATGATGATGATGATGATGATGATGATGATGATGATGATGATGATGGTGATGATGATTATAGGATGATGATGATGATCTGATGATGCTGATGAGGATGATATGATGATGCGGATGTGGGAGACGAGGGATTAGGAGGAGACTGAGGATGGTGTGATGATTGTGATGATGATGATACGATGATGATGAGTATGATGATTGATCATACGAACAAGAATGATGCTTTGATGCTGATCATGAATGATGATGATGATATGCTGATGATGGTGGTGGGGATGGTGATGATGGTGTGTTGGTGAGATCATGATGCTGATGATGCGTGATGATGCTGATGATGATGCTGATGCGATAGACGATGATGATGATGAGATGATTATGATGATGATGATGATGATTATGCATGATGAAGATGATGATGATGCTGCTGCTGAGATGATGATATTATGTGATGATGATGATGATGGATGATGATGATGCTTATACGCTGATGATGCTGCTGTGATGCTGATGATGCTGCTGATGATGATGATGATGGTGATGATGATGATGCTGATGATGCTGATGATGATGATGATGATGATGGTGGTGGTGGTGGTGGTGGTGGTGGTGGTGATGGTGGTGGTGGTGATTGTGGTGATGGTGGTGGTGGTTGTGGGGCGGACGACGAGGAGGAAGAGGAGGAGGAGGAGGAGGAGGAGGAGGAGGGGCGAGAAGGCGGGGGGGCGCAGATTTCCTGATTGCTGCGCAGGGGACAGATCGGGCGTGGACGCGGCCTGGCCCTGGCACATGTCCCTGGGCGAGTTGGCATCCAAGGGCAAGGCGCCGGAGGCTCACATTCCTCGTCCTCCCCCCTCCCTTCTTCTCCCTCGACCCTTCATTCCTATACCCGATGCCCTCCTCCCACTCCCCTCTTCTCCTCTTCCCCCACCCCTCGTCCTTCCCTCGCCCCCCCCTCGAACATCCCTGAACCGCCTTTTAAAGAGCCATCCAATACATAACCTGTTATCCATAGAGCCATCTCAGACTTCCGAAAGCCCCCTGGACCCCCTCTTCATCCAACTCCTCTATCCTCCCACCTGCCCCTCACTCCCCACCGTTCCCTTCTCCAATGTAGACAGATCCGCTTGTCTGATTGCCCATAGCATGATGAGTCTTGCTGGGAGTTCTACGTCCGCTATGACACCCGTCGTCGGATAGAGAACCCGTGGAAAGGGATGAGTGGGAGGGGTCGGATATCAGATATGGCGCTAGCGCACCTCGCTTGTCCTTATTCCCCTACACTCCCTCATCCTTCCCCCCCTTCCCTTCGCTCCCCTGGCCCTCCGCCCCCTTGAGCACCCTTGAGCCACCAACACATCAAGAGACATCCAGGACCCCCCTTGCAGGGCCGCCTGACCCCCCAAACCCGTCCTCCTTTGAAATTGCATCCAACTCTTCCTGCCGCTTGTTTCCGCTCCTCTCCCCTCACCACTGGCAGCAGGCGCTGGCCCCGGACGACTCCGCGGTGTACTCCCGGAACTGGTCCAAGTCTTCTTCGTCGACCGAACGCGGATCCTCCCGGGACTCCAGGGGGGGCGGACAAACACACGTGTCAGCATTTTGGTTATTACCTAACAGCGAAGACTGATAGGTTTCTAGTAGTCTCAAAAGAGGTCACAGATCACTCCACAGGGGGGTCCGGGCAGGTGTTGGGAGTTGCCGGGCGGGTTGTGTCCACCTCGTTTTTCACCAACAGTCACACACTTCGTGCTCTTCGACTTCCCAGAACTCCATTCCCAGGCCACATTCTGAATACCCGGATGCAACAGTCACACACTTCGTGCTCTTCGAGATCCCAGAACGCCATTCCCGGGCCACTTTTAGAATAACCGGATGCAACAGTCACACACTTCGTGCTCTTCGAGTTCCCAGAACTCCATTCCCGGGCCACATTCTGGAGGGCCGGATGCAACAGTCACACACTTCGTGCTCTTCGAGTTCCCAGAATTCCTTTCCCGGGCCACATTTTGGATGCCCGGAGCCAACTGTAGGCCACTTCCTGGTCTTCGAGTTCCCAGAACTCCATTCCCGGGCCACATTTTGAATGCCCGGAGCCAACTGTAGGCCACTTCGTGCTCTGCGAGTTCCCAGAACTCCATTCCCGGGCCACATTTTGGATGCCCGGAGCCAACTGTAGGCCACTTCGTGGTCTTCGATTTCCCAGAAACTCTCCCATTCCTTGGCCACTTTTCAGCAGGGGCAAGAGGCACGACGAGAGGAGGACGATAAACAAAGACTTGGCTGGGAGAGAATGATTTCACATGGGAGCATGAACGATGAGGCATTGCCTCAGAAGAGGAGCAGGATAATAAGGACGAGCAGGAGAGGAGGAGGAACGAGCAGGAGGAGGTAGGACGCCGAGGAGTCGGACGACCCAGTAAAGGAGAGGAGGAGGAGGGAGGGGGAGAGTACCAGGAGGAGAGGAGGAGGAGGATAGGAGAGGAGTAGGAGGTAGGTGGAGGAGAGGAGGAGGAGGAAGTAGGAGGAGGAGGAGGAGGAGGACGAGGACGAGGAGGAGGAGGAGGGGGGGGAGAGTACCAGGAGGAGGAGAACGAGGACCACCAGGAGGAGGAGGAGGAGGAGGAGGAGGAGGAGGAGGAGAGAACACCAGGAGGAGGAGGACGAGCAAGACGAGGAGGACGAGAACGAGGACGACCAGGAAGAGGAGGAGGAGGAGGAGGAGGAGGAGGAGGAGGGGAGGGGGAGGACTACCAGGAGGAGGAGGAGGAGGAGGAGGAGGAGGAGGAGGAGGAGGAAGAGGAGGAGGAGGACGAGGAGGAGGAGGAGGAGGACGAGGAGGAGGAGGGGGGGGGAGAGCACCAGGAGGAGGAGAATGAGGACCGCCAGGAGGAGGAGGAGGAGGAGGAGGAGGAGGAGGAGGAGAGAGCACCAGGAGGAGGAGGACGAGCAAGACGAGGAGGACGAGAACGAGGACGACAAGGAGGAAGAGGAGGAGGAGGAGGAGGAGGAGGAGGAAGAGCAGGAGAAAGAGGAGGAGGAGGAGGAGGCAGGCTGAGGCTGAGGCTGTGACTGCGACTGCCGTTGCCGCTGCGACTGTCATCGCGAATGCGACTACGACTGCGAGAACAGCAGAATTCGACAACTGGATTTTCATCTGAATCTTAAGGGGAATGCTTTCAGATATGCTTCTACACATCGCTGTTAGGTTGCTTTGCCGGGATAATTGAATCGCTTCGCTCATTCCGCCGGCCCATAGTGTAGCGTCGCTGGCACTTGCTTGCGTGCTCGGGGGGGCATTTGGGTGGCCTCCTGGGGCCGCTTGGGGGCCTCTTGGGGGCCTCCTGAGGGCCTGTTGGGGGCCTCTTGGGGCCTCTTAGGGGCCTCTTGGGGCCTCCTGGGGACTTCTGAGGGCCGAGGGCTCGAAATATTGTTTCGTGTTCCCCCCTGGGGTACCTCTTGGGGCGTTCTTGGGGCCCTCTGGGGCCGTCTTGGAGGCCTCTTGGGCCGTCTCGGAGCCCTCTTGGGCCGTCTTGGGGCCCTCTTGGGGGCCTCTTGGGCCCTCTTGGGGCGGTCTTGGGGGCCTCTTGGGCCGTCTTGGGGTGTCGTGAAGCCGAAAAGGTGGAAACGCCAAAATCTCTCCAAAACCTAAGGAAAAGCAGTGAATTTTGCCTCTTGGGGCCCTCTCGGGAGTGCTCTTGGAGGCCTCTTGGGGCGTCTGGGGGCCATCGTGGGCGTCTTGGAGCGATCTTGTGGCATCTTGGACCCCTCATGTAGCATCTTGGGGGCCTCTTGGAAGCCTCTTGGCCCTTCTTGGGGCTCTCGGGGACGTCTCGGAGCCGCGTTGGTGCGCTGCTGGAGCGCCCTGGTGACTCCTCCTGGGACTCTCTCGGGACCTTGCCGGGGTACTTTCCGCCCGGGGGCCCCCAGGGGCCGCCCCGCGCGCGCGAAGTAGAAAGATTGTAAAGCAGTCACCGGAGATCTTAGCACGCCTCTGGCCCGTTGGGCCGGCGAATTCGTTCGGGGAGGGGGAGAGGGAGGGGGATGGGGAGGTGGAGGGGCAGTATGAGGAGAATGATGAGGATCGCACAGGTCTACGAGCGGGCAAACCACAATCAGACAGGCCTGCGGGGTTGAAGGATCCGTCAATTCGAAAAACTTTGTGCTTGGAAAGGCCCGTAACCCGTAGCCTGGCCATGGGGGATGTTAGAAGATGGAGGAGGAAAGGACGGAGGAGGAAAAGGAAGAGGAGAAGGCGGGGGGGCCGAGTTGCCAGGAGGGGGGCAACAGCTGGGGTGGAGCTGGCGGGCGTGGCGGGATTGTAGGGAAAGCTGCCGCCCTGCTAACCAACACCCGACCTTCTGGGCCAGCCACCTTGCCACTCCCCAGCCTGGAACATATCCCTATCCCTATGATTGGCATCGCCTCATCTCGATGCCGATCTTAGGGATTCCCTCCGTTTCTGAGGGCGCATTTCTAAGATTGTCGTCGACTTTGGGCTTGTTAATTTTAGGGATAGGGATACGTTCGAGGCTGGTTAGTGCCACGGGCACCTGAACTGTCGTTTTACCCCTCTCCCCCTTCTCCCCATCCTTCTTCCGGAAAAGAGGGAAGGAGCAGACGGGAGTCCGAGCGTGGGGGGGCGTTGCCCTTCTCCCAGGACTGGTCGAAGTCCTCGTCGACGGCACCATCCTCCCGGGAGTGGTCCAAGCCCTCGTCGACGCAGCTGCTCGGAGATTTTGGGGAGCAGGCGTTGCTTGGATCGGGGAAACGTAAGACTTGAGTAAGCCGGAACTCGGGTTCGCCGACGTTTTTTTACGAGCACATCCTGGATTCTGACGGTCCAGTTTTCATGGCATGTTTGCAGCGGGAGCTCGCGTCAAATGTTCGATTGGGTCTCGTGATTTTTATGATGGCCCCGTCGGACCAACCCGCGTCCCTCGTACATGAGTCCTACGTCTCCCCGATTGGATCATTCACAAAACCATGCGCGGTTGTCGGCCACCAAATTCTGAACATGTCCTCCTTCCAGCCCACGCGCGAACGTGCTTAAGGCGGGGTTTCCTGAAGCCAAGCCACATCGTCTGTTGAATCATGCCCGCATGCTTTACCAAATCAATGGAGATGAAGCAGGCCACGTATTTTTGAAGCGTGTTCTCTTGATGCCTGCCTTTTTCGAGGTGCGTCTTTGAGGCACGGAAGCTTGGTATCCATGGCCCAGTGGGTCACCATGATAATAATTGCAGGAGGAGGGGAAATGACGAGGGATGAATGAGGTCAGGGACAGGGGGCGATGGAGGAGGAAGGGGAGCAGAAGGAGGTTTGATCCTAGCGCTTCCCAGACTCACGCAGCACTTCTGAACACCAGTTCGTGAAGCCTAGCTCCCCTCTTTGTCGGGAGGTTCGGCCTTTACACCGCCCCGCTCTCAAGCACCCTGCGCGCCAGGTTAACCTCGACACCTCGACGGACGCGTCTCCACGCAGGCATGGCCAGTGCGCCGCAAGTGATGGCCCAGAAACATGGCCTCCCGTTGCACGCCCTCAGCTCGGTGTGGCGGTGGTGCGCCACGCCGAGAGGGCCGACGAAGCGTGGGACTCCCGCTGGCTGCATACCGAGGACCCATGCCGCCAAAGCGGGGGCCTCATTATCACAGGAGGAAGCGATACCACTACCCGAGACATGCCCTAGACCCTAGAAATGCTCGCGCCGTAAACAAAAAATGGCCGAAGGTTTTTGGCCGTTTTCGGCCTCCGGGGGCTCTCGCCAGGCCCCGGGACCGTCAAACAAGTGCTGTTTGGGATGAAAAACCGGCCTTGTGGAAAGGGTCGGGCTTTCCAGGGACCCCGCATCTGGAAAGAAGACAAGCATGGGATTTGCGGGGCCGCTGCTCGTCCTGCAGAGAGCCCGCGCTGCCACGGTCGGATTCTCTTCGAATTTCTGATGGGAGCGCACCCCGGGAGAGTTCCAGGAGTTGCGTTAGCGGTACTTTTTCGCCCCCAGAGCAGACGGGGTCGGAGGGTCGCGGCCCGCCTCGACAGCTGCATCTTGCTGCGCGTCGCGATGTGTGGCGCCATTCACAGGTCCGACCTAGCACCGCTGACGCATCGGCGGTGCGGCGCGATCCTCTGACCCCATCTGTCCCGAGCTGTTCCATATGCGGGGGGTGGATCGCGTGGGGGGGGGTCAGCGGGCTGTCATTCGGGGGCGTGGGGGTGGTGGATCGTGCTTCGGGGTGCTCGGCGCGCGCGGCGGGACCAGCGGGGGTTGTCGTGCGGGTGGCATGGGGGGGCGCGTATTGAGCTACTCGGAGCACGATGGGCCCTGTTCTGGGAGAACGCGCGGAAGTAAAACTCGTCTGGGGCCCAGGGCTTCTGGGCTTCTAGGGCCCACCGCATGTCCCCTTGTGGCCACCATCGCCACTAGGTTATTTTACTATTCCTCTACGGCCGCTCGTTTTATTAGCTTCTCGAACGGGTGAGTTTTGCTTTGTAAGTGTGCTTAGGGCTTTGCAGCTCTGGAAGCATGGGGCGGACTGGAAGTCCGAATCTCGCGGCTGTGGAGTCGGTCATAGGGCAGCCCAGCGTGTTTACGAAGTGGCATGTACATATATATATATATATATATATATATATATATGTGTGTGTGTGTCCGTAGCCATTTTGGCTCAAGGCCAAATGGCGTTTTCCCCAGATCTGCATTCGCGGGGTAGGCTCCCACCCAGTGTCCCAGCTGCTTCCAAGTCCAGGTCCGCCCCTGGCACCAGCCCCAAGTCCAGGCTCGTTCCTGGCATCCATATCAAGAAGTCCAGGGCCTCCCCTGGCATTCATATCCCAAGTCCTGGTACGCCCCAGGCATCGAGTGCTCGCGAATGGCGTCTCATAGTGGAGCTGCTGTTGCTGGTCGCCCTTCTCCTCATCTCCAACCCGCTGGTGCTGGAGCGAGTAGTGCTGGCGAACGACAACCTGATGCAGTCCACCAGCACGACCACTGGAGAGAGTCGGCCGCGTTATCCCGTGCTGCCGCTGAAGGAGCCAAGAGGCCTCGTGCAGATGCCTCCCACGCCTCGGTTTCCAATGCTTCAACCTCCTCAGAGCTCGTGGACCCCATGGACGCCGTCAACGCCGCCATCGCTGCCTCGCAGGACTTCCTCACAGCCCAGCTCGATTCCAAGCTGGCCACGATCAAAGCAGTGATCGTCGGCGAGTTCGCTACCCAGCTCAAGGGTCCCCTCGGTGCGGTGGTTGGACAGCAGCAACAACAGAACGCGCAGTTCACGGGCCAGATCCAGTCACTTCAAGCCACGTCATCGAAGCTCGAGGCAGAGCAAGCAGAGATGCGTACCCAAATTTCTGAAATGCGACAGCGGCTATACATGCAGGAGGCACATATCCCCATCAAAGACTACGAGAACCTCATCGAATGGGACCGGCCAGCAGACACGAGCATAATTGTGGGCACGGCTGCGGAGAACTTCACGCTCGACGATTTCAAGGCCAGCATCCAGCCCATCATCGACAGGTGTGAGTTCGGCGCTGACGAATGGGAGGCGGTGGGCAAGAGTCCAGCGCGACGATTCATCATTCAGTTCAGTGGCGACGCGAATGCCTCTGCCCGACGTGTCCGCTCTGTCTACGGCAAGCTCAAGGGCGCTGGCGGCGAATGGCTCAACACGGTGGTCAACAGTGTACATGGTCAGCGCACACGTCTCTTCTTCGGCCTTGACCGCAGCGGCAAGACAGCGAGGCGAGAGTTCCAGACCAAGAAGCTCACCCAGTTCTGCAAGACCCAGCACGACACGAAGCGCTGGCGGGGCGACCGCCAACAAGGGATCATATTTTGCAACAACCTGCCCATCCTCTTCATATCCGTGGGCGCCACAAAGGATGAACCAACCAAATTGCTCTTCAACTACCAGGGTTGCCTCACGCATGGCATCAACAGGGAGGACGTCCGCGCGAAGTTCGAGCAGTTCTTCCAAACATCCTTGGACGCGCAGAACGCACAGTGGCAGATTTAACAAGGCGCTGGCCCCCTGGCGCAGGGCACAGTCTGTTGGCGCCATCACTTTCAGGACGTGGAACGCACGAGCGCTCCTCTGCCAGGACCCGCTCAAGCGCAAGAAGAAGGTCAACCACATGCTGCAGGTACTCAACTCTACGTCGCTGCTGGCCCTGCAGGAGGTGCACGGCTCCGGGTCGGAGCTCGCCCATGCCCTGCGCCTAGGCCACAAGACTGCGGCCATCTTCACCTCCATACTTGTGCGCGGCACGGGAGGCGTGGCGATCGTGCTCCCTGGTCTCTCGCAAGATGAGGCGGCTGACTCTGACCGCTTCCGCCACGCGACACCCGTACCTGGCCGCGTGCAACGTCTCCAGATCAAGTCGGATCTCACTGGTGCACCCGAGGGCGCTCTGCCGTCCATGGTGGTGATCTACAACGTCCACAACTTCCAGCTCGCGCAGGATCAGGTCCAGCGCACGGTGGGCTCAATCAGGGCGGAGCTCAGCATCGCAGAGCAGCAGCCCGAGCGCATCGCAGTCATGGTCATGGGCGACTTCAACTTCATGGACGAGGCCCCACTGGAGATGAAGGCCCCGCTCGTCAACAAGGGGCTACCCAGGCTTCGCAACGTCCATCCTGAACATCAGCTTCTATGGGAGCAGGCACTCGGAGACTTGGTCGAAGTGGACCCTGAGCTCCCCGCGCTTTACACTGGGCACCCCCAGCAGTGCACGCACATTGATAAGATCTATGCCAGCTCGCCGCCGTGGCTCTTGACACAATGGTGCGCGGAAGTGACGTCCCCATGGCACCTGACATGCTATATGACAAGGGCATTTCGGATCATGCCCCAGTGCACCTGCGTCTCTCAGCCCGCGCTCGCGAAGATCGCGAGTCGCAGCCGATCCCGCAGTGTATCTTCGAGCGCCCTCTCTTCGCCAAGTACCTCGACCTGCTGGTCAGCCACGCTGACCTGGACAGCTACACGCCCTTTGTGCGCCTCCAGGAGGTCAAGCGCCTGATCCGCGAGGCGGCGCGTCCCTCTCGCAACGACCTGACAGACATGCACGCACCGTGCTCGGCGGCAGCCCTCACCACTTGCAGGGCGATATCGAGGGCGGTATGGCGAAATGACTGGCAGAGCGCACGCACGCTTAAGGCGCGCACTGAGCTCGGTGACCAGTTCTTGGACATCTCCGACCCGAGCAACATCACGCTGATCGAGCCTGGCACGTTTCGTCGCGTCTTCGAGCAGCGCCAGAAGTCGCACCAGGACCAGCGTACTGAGGCCCTGCTGCAGGAGGAGACTGCCGCTGGCACGCCTTTCAGCAGCGGCAGCGGCTCCGCAATATGAGGAAGGCGATCCAGAGGCGTGGCAAGCTCTGGGCCCCAACGGGCAAGACCCTCAAGCTCAAGGCTACCGAGGTGATGCACGACCACAGCTCGACGGAGTCGCCTGCGGCCATGATCGAGGAGCTCCGTCGACAATGGCCCCCAGTCTTCCAGGCGAAGCCGAGCCACCTCAGACACGTAAAAAGCTACCTAGAGAAGCACATCGTCCCGTATGACTGCACGGACATGGACATCCCCACTTTGGGTAAGATGAAGCGTTTGATCAGCAGGCTCAACAACCCAGCGCCTGGACCTGACGGGATCCCCTACATGGCCTGGAAGCGGACCCCCTTGTCGGCACAGCTCATGCTCGACGTCACCGTCGAGATCATGCAGGGTTACCCTGCCCCACTCACCCTCAATGACTCGCTGATGACCTTCACCCCTAAGGGGTCGGAGCCCGCTGACGAGCTCGGGGCGACGAGGATGGCAAAGGCAACTCGTCCCCTCTCCTTGCAGAACACGGACTGCAAAATCGTCGCGGCCATGGGGAACGAGCTGAGGAAGCCGATCGTGGCCAAGGGAGCACACAAGGCCCAGAAGGGCTTCTTACCGCAGAGGCGCTTCATAGAGCACGTGGTGGCGATGGACGCTCAGGCCCGCATAGTGGCCACGCAGTCGGACCCCGTGGAGAAGGACCCACTCTTGGTGCTGTACGACTTCGGCGACGCGTTCCCCTCCATGTGCAGGGTCTGGCTGAACAACGCGCTGGAGTTCGCAGGTTTCCCACTGGGCATCCGCAACATGGTCGATGCGATTTACCTCCTGCCCGCTGCCTTCACCAACCTCGGCGGGGCGCTAGAGGTGTTCTGCGCCCTGGCCTCGGGCATCCTCCAGGGGTGTCCGTGGTCGGGCACTCTTTGGGCCGTCGGCATGGATCCGCTGATCAGGGACATGCATTCCCGCACGCGCTGCTTCAAGGGCGCTGTCATCGGCGTCTGTGCGGATGATGTGGGCAGCGTTATGCCTGCACTGAAGATGCTGCGGCCTATGTTCGGCGTCTTCAACGCGGCGGAGCTCCTGGCGCGTCTGGTGCTCAAGACGATGAAGTGCAAGATCATCCCGCTGGCGGACTCCTTCTCGCCGGCGGTTGTGGACAGGGTACGTGCCAAGATCGAGGCGCTGGTCCCGAAGTGGAGCGGCATGAAGATCACGGACATGGCTGAATACCTCGGGGTGTTGATGGGCCCGAGTGTGGATAACCTCAAGCGTGGGCAGAAAGTAGTGGAG